TATTTTTGTGTTCTGGAGATTATTCAGTAAAGACGTAAAATGTTTTGAGTCTGTAAGTTACGAAAAACTGTTATTTGAAAAATTTTCATTGCACTGATTGTTCGATTGCATCAAAGAGATCATGGATATTTGTAATTGTTCTTTATTATTGTTTGTTTTGTGTTTTAAGTTTAAGTTAAGTTAAAATTCAGTTTTCTTGAGGTATTTTTTTTTGCAATTTATGAACTTGATTATTTATTTTTAAGCGGAAATCTACAAGTTATGTGAAAATTTGGATAAATATACGATTTTTTCATTACTTTCTGAAGGAAAAAGTAAGAAACTTAAAAAATATTTATCATGCAAATAATCGCTTTTCATGTCAATTAGTGCTTGATGAAAAAAATGCAGCTACTAATCATTACTGGAAGTGATTTTTATTCACATCAATGCAGTATTTGATGAAAAATATGCATCGAAGATTTTGTTATTGTAAACGATATTTATTCACATCAATAAGTATTTGATGAAAAATACTCAAAGAATTCGTTATTGAAAGTGATTTTTGTCATATCAACGATTATTTGATAAAAATTATGTATGGAATATTTTGTCATTGAAGGTGAATATTTTTAATTCACGCCAGCGTGTGATGAGAAATATGCCTAAAAGATTTTGTTATTGAAGGTGATTTTAATTCAGTATTAGATGAAAAAAAATGCATAAACGATCTTTTTCTTTGGATGTGATTTTTATTCATATCAATGTGTATTTGATGAAAAATACGCTTAGAATTTGTTATTAGAAGCGATTTTTTTATTCATATCAACGGGTATTTGAGGAGAAATATGCATAAAAGACTTTATTTTAGAAGGTGATTTTTATTCATATCAATGAATATTTGATGAAAAATAGGCTTAGAAGTTTTTGTTTTTGGAGAAAATAAATGAAAACTGCATGGAAAAAAAAATTAAAGAAAACTTTCATACAGGAGCACATTCTTTCCTTATGTAAATGAGAATCGTCGAGCATAAATTATAGTCATTCCAAAGTGATTCTTCCACATTGTTTGAAATTATATATATTCTTTAATTCAACCAGAATTTTTATTTAAAAAAAATGAATATGCAGTTATTATTAGTGGTATCCAATAAAAATGAATGTTTAATAAAGAGTATTATAGTGTAAGAGATTATAGCGTAAAAGATTTTAACTATATGCGTGTCATCTATGAAAATATTACATCATCTATGAAAAGAATAACTAAATAATGCCAATTTTATTACTGGTAATCTGTCTTTGACAAAAATTGCAATTAGTTCACTTCATAATGAAAGTTATAGTGTTTACATATTTTTTAATCTTCACATTAACTATACTGTATGGTTCGGTAAGTTTATTTTTTGGATTTTATACTTCAATATTTATGTTTATTTGAAAGTTTACTATGTTGTTATGAATATGGTTTTAATTACAATTTAGATGATTTCATTATTTAATTGATTGAATTGTTGACTGAAAATTTTAGTAATAATTTTCGTTAAATTGTTGCTTCTTATTTTCGGAATAAGTTTGACTGACCTAATACAGTATCTAATGTAATTCGTCAATATTATTATAAAATTGAACCACGTTTTTTTAAAATGTAACTTTAACTTTGGGAATTGATAATGATATTCGTTATTACAAAAACTTTTCAATACATTCATATAATGTGAGTTCTTTTCAAATAATATAATAGTGCTGTTGCTAAATACACTTATTAGCCATTATGAAACCATTATAGAACTAAATGAGCCTATTTGAAAGATATCATTTGCTTATGGTTTTTATTCTGCGTACAAATATGCAGGATGAGTCTATTCAAGATGGCAAAACTTTACTGAGCGATTAGACCAGGGATGGGCAAACTACGGCCCGCGGGCCAACTGTGGCCCTCCGGAAGGTTTTATCCGGCCCCTTGAATAGAATTTTGATTTGCCGATCAGTGGCAAATATAAACAATATACATCCATTTTCTTGTCAACTATTTAAAATTATTTCTGTTTTTCCTTTTTTAACAAAGTACTGATGACCTTCTTACTTTCTCTTTTTGTTCTAAAAAACATAAATTGATGGAAATAGTTTGCGCAGACAGCTTCAATTGGTAAAATGTTGAAAGCAGAAGTTCTTCATAGAATAGCCTTAAATTGGCTCTAACTAGCGTTTGTCTTTCTCGAGGAATCTAATATAGGTGAATTGTACTTCACATTTGGCAGAATGCTGGATTTTAAGATCCAACAAGCGGACAATCTAGCAATCATCTGAAGCAGTTGTTTCTAAATATGCCAAAGTTTTACAAATCATTACCAAAAGCTAGTTTCCAAAATGTAATATTTCATTCCCAGAAAATCAGCGCTATGTTTGCTTAATCTTATATATGTAAACAAGAGATTTCAACTATGAACCTTAGAAAAAATCATTTTAGAAGTGGTCTAACAAAAAAGCATTTAGCCTTGTTCCTTAAAATAAGCACATCTCACTTCGAACCTTAATTTAAGGAACTTTTAAAAATGAAATTGCAATTTCATTCATCGCACTAAATATTTAAATTAAAACTTGTATGTCGCTTCTTTTTTAAAATTTTGAAAGTTTTATTTGGCCCACCAAACATTTTTTTTCTCGATTTTTGGCCCTCGACCAAAAAAGTTTGCCCATCCCTGGATTAGACGCATCCACACGAGCATTATCAGCCATTGAATGTACAGTCGGAACACAAGCAGTGAGTAGTTAAAAAGTAGTTTTCCCCTGTCACGCTTCAAGAATTAACGCAAGAATGATGTTGCAGTTGTAGTTCAGTTACGTCGCACTAGAGCTGCACAACGAGCTATTGGCGACGGTCTGGGAAACGTCCCTGATGATGATCCGAAGACATCACAGTGTTGATCATCTACAGAGTGGATGGCACCCCCTCTTCGGCAGCCCGACGACCTGCACGCGAAGAACAGTTTAACAAGAGCCAATACCGCACACCCTCGGTCCCTACGCAGACTGCTAACTGAAAACTTTTTATTTACGTCACTACCTTTTAACTTCTGCTTGTGTTCCGACTATACATTCAATGGGCAATAATGCTGGTGTAGATGCGTCCTATTACCCAGTAAAATTTCCCAGATATCAGGGAGCCATA